CGGTACGAGACTCGAACCCGCAACCTTTGGGTTACAAGTCCGACTCTCTAACCATTAGGCCACGACTTCCCCACAATTAGCGGCGCATGCGCAAAGCCGACCTCCATACGTCATCCATTTGAATATGGATATTTTTCTTACAAAATCTCATCGATTCGCTACAGTTTATGGACTAATTTTCATTTTTGGGTGAACTAACCCTTTAAGTTTTCTTAGGAACATGGGTTGGAGCTCTTAATTTCGAACTCTCAAAGTGTATTAGATAGAAGAATTTAACTTTAAAATGTTCAAAATTTCATTTTTTTCTCCAAGTCTTCATTTGTCTTTTTTTTATATCGCAACAAATATCGTATCTTGGAGTTATTATCGAGATATTATCGTATCGTGAGATTTTGATATCGTTACATCCCTAGTGTGTATGCTTCAACATGCATAGATATATTTTGTTGACATTGATAAAGGTAAATTTGAATACTACAAAACTGTGTAACGTGTTTACAGAAATAGTTGGCTACACTTTAAATATGTTTACATGACGATGATGTACTAAAAATAGAACAATTTTTCCTTTGTACTTTTGACATCTTTCAAAAACTTACACTTTGAAACCCTTTTTTTTTTTTTTTTTTTTTTTCAAATGTTTGCTTTTTCAGGCCCCCAAATTGCCATTGTCATGTACATGAACTGACAAAACATATAACAGGCTTTCCATTTTTAGTTGAAATCGGTGTTGTGTAAATGCCCCCTCTTAGTTGCTAACTGCTAACTACATGTGCAGTATTTAAGGAAAACTATTGCAGTGACTATAAAAACTGCTTGGGACTTAGAAACTTTAACCAGTGTTCCTAAGTTAAGATAAAATGTGTAAAATTGATATGCAACCTGTTGACATGTTTCATAGATTATGATGATATTTCCAATTGTGTCGACTTCATCATTTGTTTGGGAGGAGATGGGACTTTGCTGTATGCTTCTTCTCTCTTCCAGGTTTGAAAATCTTTTATAAACTGTTATAATAATGACAGAATAATTAAAATATAAGTGCACTGTCAAAGAAATAGAAATAACATTAAAAAATGTGTTTTGTTACATTTTTGTATTATTATTGTGCCCTGTTCACACTCACATTTATTTTATTTCTGGAGGTTCCAGCTCTAACTTTATTGGTGGGCTGCATTACTAGACTTAGGTCTTGAAAATGTGGTTGGTGAGGGTGGGTGTGGTAAACTTGCTCTCATGTGCACTTGAGTGTGTGTGTGTCCTCTGAAAAATTCTTGTTGCTTGCCGATTGTAAACAGAGACATTGAACTATGTATTCTGATATGTCAAAATAGATCTGTGCATTAGTAGGAATGCAAGCTGTTAGACCTTCCACTGTCATTTCATTAATCAAACTGCAAAAAAAAATGCTCGCTTCTGTTCTAGAAAACTTTGAATCATAATTGAATCGCTGACAAACAATTGCATGCATATTGGCAAGTAGTTGTGTTGACAATGATTTTTGTTTGCTCAAGTATGAGTGTAACACAATATAACCAAACCCAAAACTACTCTAGCCTATTACTCTTTTTACTTAATATCCCTTTGGATTTTTAGTGCTTAATAACCTTTTCTTTTAGTATCTTAATTGTTAAGGCTATATATGGCTAATTTCCAGAGATATGGGAATTTCAATGTGGCCCCATGAATAAGTTTTTAAATTGTACATATTTTCTGTGGTCAAGAACCAAATGTGGGTCAACGTTGCATTCACCTGAAACATTTAAAGAAGAATATCTGAAAAATAAATCATGTTGAAACTAGAAATTTATCGTTTTGCCCTCTATCAAAGCAATTGTATAGAACATATTTCATCAATCCAAAAAACACAGACAATACAGCGAGCAAAATAAATAAACAACTAATAGTTAAAAGACAGGCAGAATCCACAACATCAAATATTTACATACAGACTAAAACGCCAGTGGTTCCACATGCTGGAGAAAAATCTAACTGAACTAAGTGCTGGGTTCGTCAGTGTTGAAATTATACTGTTTGCAGAGTCTGATAACCTACACATACACTTGTACATCAAATTACGCAACACAGCAGAGCAGGTTGGCACACCAACACTAACAAACATTTGGCTTGCACTGCTCCATCGTGGAACCCTAAGCAGCAGCCTCAATCCATCGTTATATGCTACACTGAGTTTCTGCATGCTACACCGCCACAGATGGGCAGTATACATAGGGGTACAAAATGCTCTAAAAAGTGTAGTCTTAACAGATCCTGATCAGCATATTAACTTGAGCGTACATCATACGACACTGTCTGTAAATGTCTCTATCATCAAACAAGGCATCAGTTATATAATGTCCTAAGTATTTAACCTCCTTGCATGCTTTAAGGACAGCACCAGACAGAGAAAAGTCAGGAAATGAAAGTTTCCTGGCCTCCCTACTCCTAATTATCATAATATTACTCTTCTTTGCATTGTATTTAATATCAAAATCTAAGCCATATTGAGAGCAAACCATCAATAACTGTTGAAGGCCTGCACTATATGGACAAAAAATCACCAAATCGTCCGCATACATCAAGTGGTTGATGATAGTGTTACCAACAATACAAACTGTTCCACAGCTGTTTAGCAGCTTCGATAAATCATCCATATAAACATTAAATAGAAAGGGAGACAAAATGCTTCCCTGTCTAACCCCATTACCTACATTGAATGGAGCAGACACAGAATTACCCCATTTCACATGCATTGACTGATGAGCATACCAAAAGGCCAGAATTCTTACAAAAAATTTAGGAACTCCTCTATTGCATAACTTGCAAAATAGTTTTTTCATTTACATTTACATTTAATCATTTAGCAGACACTTTCATCCAAAGTGACTTACAAATAAGAACAATAGAAGCAATCAGACCAACGAGAGAGCAACAGTATACAAGTGCGGTGACAAGTCTCAGTTAGTCTAGCACAGTACACATACTAGCTAGTTTATATATATATATATATATATATATATATATATAATATGCGGACTCTACGATTCTTTCACATTTAGAACGAATTTTAAAATCTTTATCGTTATAGTTGTCCTTGGTGTGGACAGACCTTTAGGCCAATAAACTATATTCAATTCAATTCAAGTTTATTTGTATAGCGCTTTTCACGATGCAAATCGTTGCCAAGTAGCTTTAAGGTAAGTGCTAGTATTAGTTGGTCAGGTGCTGGCGAAAAAGATGGGTCTTTAGACATTTTTTGAAAATGGCCAAAGACTCAGCTGTTCGATCGTGTAAATCATTTTCATGATGGTTGTTTTGATTGTGTAAATAATTTTCATGATTTACACGATCAAAGTCTTTAGAAGCATCAATAAAACACACAAACATTGTAGAATTGTGCCTGTTATACAAATCTAAAATCTCCTTTAAAGCAAAAATACACATATCTGTGCCATGTTTAGGTTTAAAACCAAACTGGTTATCAGAGGTCAGGACAAACAGCTCCAACTCATTTAATAAAGTCCTCTCAGGGACTTTGGATAGAATGCTGGCCAAAGCTATTGGTTGATAATTGTCCATGCTATTTATTTTGCCAGCTTTATCTTTAATAATAGGCAAGATAAAATTGGGTAAAATACCATGTACTGAAAACCCAGTAAAACAAATAGCAAGCAGAGGACAAAGTTTCCTACTCGCAAACTTCAGATGTTCAACAGATATCTTATCCATACCACATGCCTTATTATCGTTTAACATCATAACTGCATCATAGACTTTGTGAGGAGAAACAGTCGCATCTTCATTATTATCAATATTGCCCATCACAAAGGAATTACTTTTAACACAGTTAAACAGCTCATAGTAATGTTTTTGCCACAGATGAGTAATATCCTCTGAACCACTTACACCATTGATGTTCGTTGGCAAAGATGTTTTACAGTTATTTACTCTTTTGATTTCTTTCCAGAAATTATTTGGATTATTATCTTGCAGTTTCCTTGCCAGTGAGTCAGCCCTCATTGTATTTTCATTCCTCTTAATGAAACGTTGGGCATATTTAAAGTTAGCATTTGCCAGTTTCTTATATTCAAATAAGGGGCCATATTTATGTCTACCTGACTCAACCCAAGTCGTGAAGGCCTTTCTAGCCTCAGCATGAATCTCTTCAACGTAATTATTCCAACCTGGCCTGACTTTATTCACCTTGGTCTTGTACAAAGACCTGCTTGAAGCGAGAAGGGACTCCACAATACTCAATGCTTTGTTGCAGGTTCTTACAGTTAATATCACAGCATGCAGCTGCATGTTTTCTAAATCAATATTGCTCAACAAAGTGTCAGACTGAACACAGTATACTCTAAGATCCTCCTCAGACAAGTAGGACCAGTCTATTTTCTCTACACGCATGTCGTTATTCACAGACAAAAGAGTAGGTAAATTACCCAGATTTATAGATATAGAAAGAGGCACATGATCAGTAGTAGCAAATTCATAATTAATCCTCATGGTCTCTAAAGAATCATGTGCATCAGCTGTACAAATGCAGTGATCTAACCAAGAGGTTGTGTGCCACGCCTCACTGATATACGTGTAACTATTAACAGGTAAAAATACTTTACTGGACAGAATCAAACCATTATCAGAGCAAAACTGCATTAAAGGATTGGCAAATAAAGAGTTACCATCAGAAACATCTGTATTCATATCACCCACAATAAAAAAAAAACATGTGGAAGCATTATCCTGAATAAAAGACATGACATGGAGTCAACATCCAGTCTGACCATCTTTATTAGCTGATCAAACTTTTTGTGCCATAATACGGCCATGTCGCCTGGTATTCTACCATAAACTATTTCAGTGCTTAAGTCAGTAGTAGATTCACCCACCCCATTGAAGTCTACATGAAGGGAATTCAGTCTTTCCAAGTCCAGCTTTGGTAAAAAAAGTCTCTTGAACGCCCAGTATGTCACAGGTCTCCAATAGTTTATCCACCACAAAGCGGCGTGAATTATCTGCTTCACTATGCCCAACGCACAATCCTCGGGCATTATATTACACAATATTGATATTCATTTATTATGGTTTATCCCGGGCACCCACCTGAGTGCTGCTCTCCTGTAGAGCTACAGATGTAATTTCAGACACTACTCACTGCTGACCCTCCTCCTAATCCACAGGCCGGGCTGTCACTGTTACCTCTAGGTTTCGAGCCTCAAAATAACGGCGGACATAAATTCCCACCAGCCAAAGTTGGGGGTCGTACATTTCTGTTTCTTTGTTACACTCAGCAGTGACATGAAACAAACTGAATCTGTTGTGGGTTGAATCAGTCTTCCGACATGTCACTGACTTGCCCATTCTCTCAGTCAAATAAGAACAGAGAGTGTCCGCATCAAGATTAGGGGAAAATCTAGTTGCAAACACACTCACCATCTTCGTTTTGACCACTGGAATGTTACTCTCAGTGCCGGTACCAATTATTCCCTTTATCCTCCGCTGCTCCAGTTTCAAGCGAGTCTGCATGACACCGGTTTTAGGCTGCCCAGCTGCATTTGGAGGCTTATGGGGCTTGCGTACCCCTTTCTTCAGAACAGTACTCCACGCTGGGGACTGTGGGAGAGGGCATGGAACTTCTCTCTGTAATTGGCGAGCAGATGCTGCCAGATCCTGTAACTCTCTCTTCTGAGACACTGACCCAGCACCAGCCCTATGTGCCCGGCCAGGGGATCCTCGTCGCTTCTCCATAGCCATCACCCGGTGATCGATGACCGCTGTAGCCGCCCCCAAGTTCTCATTCATGCTTGCCTGAGCTTCCAGGGCCTCTTGCAGACTCGAAAATTCCCGGCTCAGCTGTTCCATTCTACTGAGTAGTGCCGAGGCGTCCATGTTACCAAATCCGACAAGTGGAAGTTCATCCAGGTAGTGTGATACAAACCTGGAAATGTTTTCATCCGCACTCATTAAGCACCTTCAGACAGTCCTTG